GTAACTTCAGGTAGTCACTAAACGAATGATTGTAAGGCGAGGACTACCTGTATTTGGAGGTTGTTTTTTTTCAACCAGGACATTTGCACGGCTGCCACGAATCAGATTGTGCTTTGATGGAGTTCGGCATTGGTTTTGCCAGCTCCGCCAGGTGGACGGAGATCAACTCCACAGGAAGACTAAAACTCATTTTGCTGAATATGGTTGTAATAACAGAATTTTGCACACATAATTGTGTCACAGCTACGGCTGCTTCTGCTCCTCTTCCTCCTCTTCCTTGTCTAGTACTGAGGATGTTACCTAGTTTGGTAATAAAATATCTGCAAATAAAGCAATAAAGTTCAGAGAACACCAAGGACTCAACATCCTCCTCCTCCTCTTCTCCTCTTCCTCCTCCTCCTCCTCCTCCTCCTCCTCCGTTTCTCTTCCAGCACTGATGATGTTACCTAGTTTGGTAATGAAAATTACAATAAAGCAATAAAGCTCAGAACACCAAGGACTCAACAGTCCTCCTCCTCCTCTTCTCCTCCTCCTCCTCCTCCTTCATTTCTCTTTTAACACTAATGATGTTACCTAGTTTGGTAATAAAATATCTGCAATAAAGCAACCAAGCTCAGAGAACAACAGGGACTCCACAGTCCCCCTCCACTTCCTCTTCTCTGGTTCTCTTCCAGCACTGATGATGTTACCTAGTTTGGTAATGAAACATCTGCAAGAAAACAATCAAGCTCACAGAAGACCAAGGACCCTATAGTCCTCCTCCTCCTCCTCCTGCCAGAATTAGGGAGGAGTCTGCCTGAATCGCTTCCAAATGTCATCTGATTTCTCTGGATTTTAAAATTTTCAGTCCCTTTTAGGTAACAGTTCCTGCATATCTCTGTCAAGGTCATCTTCTTTTCTTTTGACAGTTTTCCGTATTTGGACCATCCGGACGAGAAGCACATTCTAGTCGCCCTTAAGCAGCTCTATCAATGCGGAGCAATTGACAGGTAAACCCTATTATTTGTAGTGGAGAGCTTTCAAAGAAATACATCTTGATTGGCAAGCGTGGGAAAATCAAACTCAAAATCAAGGAAGTCTGGGCAGTTCAAATGAATAGAAAAGTTTATTGCAAGTTCATGCTGTCTACAAGGATCTGAACTACTAACAGTCAAAGCAAATTGGCGGGAGATAAAGAATGAACAGAATTCAAGGTAGAGCTCTTGTAAGTTCAAAGGGACTCAAGACTGATGACATGTTTGACCCCTCCATCGGGTTCAGCCAGGTCATCTCCTACATTGATAAGCATAATGGGATATCCCAAATCACACTGGGCTAATCTTCCCTAGGTGATAGTTGATCATCTTGTGTGAGCCAGTTAATTGAAGAATATAATCCTTCACGAATCTTCTCTCCCATCCTCAAATGGTAGGCAAGGTCACGTGACCAAACTGGGCCAGCTCATGGTTTGGCTTCCTCTGCCTCCTAACTTGTCCTGCGCCGTCCTCAAGGCTGCCTCTCTGGGCTGTGATGACTTGCTGCTCCCCATTGCGGCCATGTTGTCTGTGGAGAAGGTCTTCATTCATCCAGGTGAGAGCTGGTGGGATTGGGGGATGGTGGCAATGGCTGGCCATTACCCTTTCAAAGCCCACATTTTGCCCTGGTTTGGTATGGTTGTAACCTCATTAGCCACCACCATGTATGTTCTGTGGGAAGAGGTAGTCATGAAACCAGACTTCTAGGAAAGCATATTTCTTATACCTGGCTTCCTGGAAAGCA